AGTCCCCTGCTGGGTCTGGACCCTCCCCTCACCTTTTAAGGGCTTCGTGGAGTTGGCCCATCCCTAAGCACCTCTTATCCTGGGAAATTCAAAGCACAAAGAAGGAAGACAATTTAAAACCCTCCAGAAATCCCCCTGTAATGTTGAGTAGCTGCCATAGCCTACTCCGAGCCCAAGTTTGGGGGAGTTAAGTTGTTGAGGGGTTTTCTCTGTTCAGACTGTGGCGAATGGCTCTGGCCTTGACCTAGACCGCCTCCCGCCGCTGCCCGCAGGCCGGTGGTAAGCGACTCGCAGTTCTTTGGAGACTCCAGACCGCTTTCCCGGGAGCCTGCCGTATTCTTAGCCCAGTTGTTGTAATGACTCCGCCTAACTAGAAAAGGCGCAATCTTAAAATTAAATGTTCTTATGAGAGTGCATGCTCTGGTTCCTTGTAAGATGGTTGCAACCTTTCCACGGTTTTTATTTATTCTTCTTTTTGTTCTTTAACCGTTTGTGGAACAGAGTAAGCAGGAAATTCACAGGAGGTCTGCTCGGCTCAGAAACACTAAATACAAATCTGCTCCAGCTGCTGAAAAGAAAGTTTCCACTAAAGGAAAAGGAAGAAGACATATTTTCAAGTTAAAAAATGTAAGATGATTGTGGACAGTGACTTTTACTGTAATGACGTGTGTGTAGTGTGTCCTATCACCGTCTTTGTTTCTCAGCTTTGAACTTGGACTCTGCTATTGGGAGCCTCTTCTGCAGTATTCTGAGGAGTGGTCCAGACTTCTCAAAAGGGAATGAGCTCTGTTGTAGGAGGCTTACTGTTTATAAAGTTAATAATACCCTTTCTTTTTTTCTAACTTTTGTATTTTCCTCTGGAAAATATAAAATTTGAATTTAAAAGGAACATCAACCTTGAACTCATTTTATTAGGCTCTTTATGCAAAAGGGGGAGGCGAAATTATGGTTCTTGGTATGGCCACATGTACTAGGAAAGCTTATTTAAAAATTCTTTAAGGATTTAAGTAAATAATAATACTGGAACTCATTGTTTCCATATTCATTTGGTATTATAGCCCCAGAAAATGTATCTTGCTGACTTAAGATGTTGAATTTTGTGAATATGAGTCAAAGGTTTTGCTAAACCTTCTTTATTTCTTCTGCTGTAAAGGGAAGGAAGAGATTGTTGAAAGACCTGTGTTGGAGGTAGTTGAAAGCACATTTTTGTTACAATAAGTTTTCACTATTTTTGTAAACACAAGGGACAGTGGTCAAACATAGTGAACATTGCATTTTGGACTATTTTAAAAAAATCTCTGTATGATTTTCTTTCCTTTCAGAACAGAAATGCTTCACTTACCAGTAAAGACATTTCTGAAGTTGAGCATATTTGTTTATAAAAACACAAAAGGGTCTTGTGGTAGATTTTTGTGCAGATGGCCCCCTTTTTTTTTTTTTAAAGTTGTATTCTCACTCTGTCACCCAGGCTGGCATGCAGTGGAATGATTACAGCTCACCACATTCTTGACCATCCAAGTAACTGGGACTATGGGTGTGCACCACCACACTCGGCTAATTTTTTAATGTTTTGTAGAGATGAGGTCTTACTGTGTTGTCCAGGCTGGTATCATGTGTTGTCTAGGCTGACCTCAAATTTCTGGGCTCAAGCAATTCTTCTGCCTTAGCCTCCCAAAATGCTGAAATTACAAGTGTGAGCCACTGTGCCCAGCCAAATTTTTGTGTTGACAGTAGTTACCCCAACTTATTTAAGATTTTTATAATTTAGTTTTCTTAAAATTAGGCATTTGTTGACAAACTCGCTAAGCAAATATTCGTTTACTTCAGTATGCGTTTGTGTCATTTGTGCAAATTTTTTTCCTTTTAAGTATGTGTGTACTTTGTTCTCTGCTACCTTTTTCTTCGATGTCCAAGCAGGACAGATTTGGGGAGGCCTAGTTTCTGTGTTGTGGCATAAAAGCATATATTGCAGCTTTAGGAGGGATTTCAGTGATGATTGGAAGGTGGCAAATTACTAAGAATTCCCAAGAAAGTTTCTAAAGCCTTAATTCTGGATTGCTAGGAAAGTGATGTTGAGTTTTATTTATTTATTTATTTATTATTTTATTTTAGAGATGTGAGGTTCAATTCAGGATTACATATATAAGTGGATGTTGAGTATTATAGCTAGTAATAGTTCCACGGTTGAGACAGAAAATGTCGTCAATGAGACACTTTCACTTTATGTTCACCTGCAAATTTTCTCTTCCATTCTGTCATGCTCAGGCTATTAGAACCAGTATATTTTTACACCTGGAATGTTCATGTGTAATGAAGCTCTGATCAGCTTTGTATTAGAGCTCAGCAGCGTAATCAGAAGCTTGTTCTTTGTTTCTCAGCAGTTTTTAAGCTCATGGTAGCAGAAGTGCAGTGGAAATATTCTGGCTGTGCTTTGCCACAATATTCAGAAAAGCATTTATCTTTTTATTGCAGTTATTGTCACCAAACAACAAGTTTTAGTGTTTGTCGAGTTATAGAATTCTCATATGGGGGGAAATTGCCTATATATGCATCCGACCTATTAATGTGCTGTTTTTTCTTTTGTGTTTTTATAGCCCATCAAAGCTCCTGAGTCAGTTTCTACCATAATCACTGCAGAATCAATCTTCTACAAGGTAAGCTTTTGTAGAGTTGTGGCTAGTGTATAATGTACTGCTAAAATGTTGGACTAGTCTAAAGGTCTCTGCCACTCTGTATTTGTATAAGCCATGATTATGCTTCTTCTTCCCTTCTAAGCTACTTTCCATCACAAGTGGCTGTCACCAAACACCTCATCCCAAGCTGGAGTGGAAGAAGTTTCCTGCTCCACACCATGTGGAGTGTAATGCATGTACACATACTGCGGAGCCTTGAAAGATGGACCCATCCTAGTCAGTGTGGTAGCATTGGAGAATGAGAAGAACAGGGGCAGGCTGTGAACTTGTAGAGGATGTACGCTGTGATACCTGATGGATAGAGGAAGCTTAGGGATTCTAAAATGTCTTTGAGCAGAGTTGAGCGGAATAAGGTGGTATTGGGGATTCACACCTACTCCATTTTGAGAGTCCAAGATGTTTTTATAAAAGAGTGAGAAGATCAGATCCAAAGTCCATGGACATCTGATACCTCAGTGAGAAATGTCCATGGACTTTGGATCTGATCTTCTCACTCTTTTATAAAAACATCTTGGACCAGAAGTCTTAAGAAAGGAGTTGGAATGTAGAGAAGGTCTCCAAGACCTGGCATAAGCAGCAACCACTCAAGGCTGTTTGGTATTTTGGGGTCTGAACTGTCACTTGGAGCAGTGGTGTGAGTGCTTTGTAGCTGACCTGAGTGGACCAGACACTGGGAAGATCAATTGATTATGCTCTTGAGTGTACTACTTTTTTGGCCCATAATCTGTGTGGTCAAAAACAGTCTGTACACAGGTAAATAACTGTCCTGTACCCAGCATTTCATACAACATTAATGATAACATACCTAAAGTTTAGTATATGTTTGCTAAATTTGTGTCAGTGGCTGAGCGTTTTATGTGCTTCATTTCATTTGGTCTACTTTGAGTTGGGTACTGTTATCCCCATTTCCTGGATGAGGACATTGAGGCACTGAGAGGTTAACTAAGTTGTCCAGGATCACATAGCCAATGAGTCGTGGAGTGGGGCAGTCTGGTGCCAGAGATTAAGCCCAGTGTTCAATTCCTGGTTCCACAGCTTTGGCAAGTGACTGTGTGACTAGGACCAACCTCGCTAATGTTTTTCATCTGTAAAATAGGGATTGTAAATAGTAACTACTTCAGTGGATCAAGTGAAATCACTGTGTTAGGCACTTGGCGGTGTAAGCACTCAGTGATTAGTAGAAATTATCATTATCACGTCTACATATTTGTATATTACCTTCACAACACACATAAAGGATTAAGTCTAAGGATTTAGTGTACTGATGAGTTCCCTGGGTGTCTCCATGGAATGGTGTGTGGGACCTGTTCTTGCAACTGTGAGTGCCTTCATATTGTTGTCTACCCCATGTTTGTTAGACAAAAAGGACAAATTGCAACAGAATATTAATGTACTGCTGCTGATACTCCGTGTCACAGCAGTGCTGCTGACAGGCAGCACCATGGTAGCAAGTCAAAGAATGTGCTGCCAGCACCCAGATAAGACATATTACATGTTGTGAGTGGGGCCATGGGATGATGGCCAGGAGTGTGGGCGCTTCCTTGGAGCGCTCCAGTGGCAAAACAGCTCCAGGGAATAACAGATCTGGTTATTCCCACTCCATTGCTCTTCACTGTCTTTCTCTGCCAGAAACCTTGACACCTTGCAAATGAGGAGACCCCCTCACATCAAGTGCATCAGCCCTGTTTGACTTTATATATATGCACACAACACAATACGTATTATTAAATACCTACTGTGTGCCAGGCACTATTGACCATTGGAGTCTTGCACTAAGACACTGTCTTTGAATGCAGTTGTGGCCAGGCGCAGTGACTTACGCCTGTAATCCCAGCATTTCAGGAGGCAAGGTGGGTGGACTTCTTGAGCCCAGGAGTTTGAGACGAGCCTGGACAACTTGGCGAGACCTCGTCTCTACAATAAATAAAAAAAAATTAACTGGGCATGGTGGTGCACACCTGTAGTTCCAGCTGCTTGGAAGGCTGAGGTGGAAAGGATTGCCTGAGTCCAGCAGGTTGAGGCTGCAGTGGCTGTGAGCGTGCCACTGTACTCCAGCCTGGATGACAGAGTGAGATTCCTACTAAAAAAAATAAGTAAAAAAAAGAATGCAATTCTGTTTTCATGCTATTATGTGTTTTAGATTAATATTCATTCATCATTTATTTGAGTGTAATCATTGATAATTTGGTAATCATGACCATACATGTGGACAAAGCAAACCATTCGTATGATAAATAACTTAGAACCGGCTGATGATGTGTAGGAACTAGCAAGTAGCAGGCTGTGGTCTGCATCAACTGGACCCGTCCACAGTGATCCAGAGGTGGCAGTCACCCTCAGATGTGTGGACGAAGGGGCCACCAGGAGAAACTTGTGGCCTATCAGGTGCTGTGTTGCTGTGTTGCAGCTCAGTTAATGGAAGCTTTTCTTCAGCATCGTTTGTCTGAGGGAGGTGCACACTGAGTACTTGTCCCTGCTGCGAAAGCCCTGTTTGGAGGGAAGAGCAGTGAATCACGCTGCTCCTGCAGTCAAAGACTGTGTGGCTTCCTGAGAATTGCACCCTCCTGAGGAAGTGCTGAGTGCTGTCAATATTTGGATCCACCGGGATGGATGTTCAAAGGAGAGATTACTAAAAATCCAGGGAAGAGGATGGCAGAGGCACAGGGAGGGTTTAGTCCAAGACATAGACAAATGAGTTGGGCATAAAGTGTAGCAGGAAATAAATAGGACACAAAGCCGTGAATGCCAAAAATACCAGCGATTGTATTGTGGGAGTATATGTAACAGGGAATGGCTGCAAGTCTGGGAGATGCACAGTAAGTTAGGGTGAACATATCCTGAAGACTAACTGTAACCAAAAGAGTTTCTGTTGTTTCTTTTGGTTTGGATTTATGGTCTGCATTTTCTTTTTTTTTCTTTGAGTTGGAGTCTCACTCTGTCGTCCAGACTGGAGTACAGTGGCCGCTTCCGGCCACCACAGCTTCGCCTGCTGGGCTCCGGTGATCCTTCCGCCTCAGCCTTCCGAGTAGCCGGAATTACAGGCATGCACTACTACGCCCGGCTGATTTTTTGATTTATCATAGAGATGAGGTCTCGCCTGCCCAGGGGGGTCTGGAACCCGCGGGCTCAGGCAATCCACTCACCTCAGCCTCCCAAAGGCGCGGGATTACAGGCTGAGCCACCGAGCCCAGCTTATGGTCTGCATTTTCTTTGAATAGTAGGTTTGGGAGGGAGGCATATAGAGTATATTCTTACCTGGTAGGCACTGATTTTCAAGATCGTGCCGAAGAAGACTGTTGATCTGGAAGAGGAGCCTCGGTACAGTCTGTGGCATTCAGCAAGTCACCACACCTGTCATAGCCTAGAGACTGTGGTTAACAAAGTAGGGCTAGAGCACAGAGGATGCCTAGGACAGCAAAACTCCTCTATGTGATACTGTACCGGTGGGCATGTCATCATACATTTGTACAAACCCATAGAATACACAGCCCCAAGAGTGAGCCCTAATGTAAACTGCGATCTTTGGGTGACAATGACATGTCCCTGTAGGTTCATCAGTTGGAACTAGGGCACCACTGTGGTGGGGGTTGTTCATGCTGGAGAGGGTGTGTGTGCGTGGGGGCATGGGGCATGAGAGGACTCTGTAACTTAGGCTGAGTTTTGCTGTAAGCATAAAATTGCTGTAAAAAGTAAAGTCTGTCTTTAAAAAAGTAGAGAGAAGCCGGGCTCAGTGGCTCAGCCTATAATCCCGCGCCTTTGGGAGGCTGAGGTGAGTG